GCTCTGACCGTTTAAAAAATATAAGATTTTGAAAAGTGTGAAAAAAAAGTTAAGATTTTTCAACTTTGGAGGCATATGTGGAGCGAGCTGGTGAAAAATGTCAATACTATATAATATTCTTTGGTAGCTACATTCATTCTCTTTCCAAAAAGCCTATATTCATCAAAATCGGTTAACAAATATGGAAATTATAAGCGAAAAACAAAATGGGACATATGTGTCCCAAAGGTCGTCAAAGGGTTAAAGAAGGTGATGAAGGAATAAATGTAAACATCTGATATTTTCAATGCAAAACATTCGATGTGAAACGCGAAATTAAACACACATGCACAGGTGGAATTGTAATTCCATCAATTGTTTTGACATTGTTATCTTGAAAAATGTGTGCGATAATATTTTGTGGGCTCTTATTAGAATCGTCATTGTACGTGGATTGAATCATACAGTGTGTTGCCCACCGACGTGGCCACACTTGAAAAGTATATAAGAGGATGCGTTCGATTCGCATGTCCATCAAACAGTTCTCTCCAATTGATACGTTCATACTAAACTTTTAATATTTCGAAGCTAGAAAAATGCTGAGTTGAAGTTCTTTCACACTGCTGCTCATTGGCTTGGTGGTATCCGAGGTGAGTCAACAATTTCAGTCGATTTTTCTTAAATTTTTCATGTTTGACACTTTTCGTGGACAATTTGTGATAATTTTTTCTGAAATAATTTAAAAAATGAAAAGTGTCCTTTTTTCAAGTTCTTCAATTGAAAAAGTTCTTCTATTTCAAAAAAGGTCCACCGGAAACTTTTATTCTATTAAAAACAGTTGGAAACTGTTATTAATACATTTATAATTAAGCTCATCCGTTGTTCCCATTCCAAATGTATCACTTTGATTCTATTTCCACAGTTCTTAATCGGAGATGTGAGCGGAGCACCACCCGGGAGGAACGGTAAGATTGAAGTTTCATTTATTTATCCAGTTTAACTCTTAAATTCCATATACAAGGCACCTTGTAACGAAGATATGGGAACCTCATTTATGCTAAACTTTTCATACATATTTTAGTAAACGAAAAAGACATGAGTGGGGAGACAGCTCTGCATAGAGCAGCTTTTGCTGGTAATTTTGGACATTGTTTTTAGAAAAATAATGTTTTGTTCAATCCGTTTCATTGATCTATGAATATTTTTCATATTCTTTCAGGCAAAGTGAAGGAAGCTCAAAACCTCATCGCTGAAGGAGCCGACCCTAATATTGGAAATGATTTAAATGAGACAGCTCTGCATTATGCTGCTATGAAAGGTAACGTTGAATACTTATTGTTATTGAATAAAAGATTGACCTGATTTTATCCTATTGATCGGTGTTATTGTTCAGGTCACAAGAGTGTCGCCGAACTTCTCATCCGCAAAGGAGCCAATCTTGATAGTGAAACTAATACGAAAGAGACACCTCTTCATTATGCTGCTTCCCATGGTAATTTTGAATACTTTTTCGAGTACTATGCGCATTAGTATTGCTTAGCAGCAAGCATTGAATATGCTTTGGCCAATAGACAAGCATATCGCAATGCAACTGCCGCGCACACAACTACCGTGCAAACAAATCATATATCGTCCTAGGGGTTTCATTCAAGGCTTGAGAAATGTGAATATTTGTGAATATTGTGGATATTTTTCTCATTGAATCATCGTCAAAATTTCGATTATATGTGAATGTTGTGAATTTTGTGAATATTTTGAATAAAATTTCCAAGATGGCGACGAATTCAAGATGGCGGCTGATGAGAACGCCTGAACTGTCAAATAAGAAAGACTGAATATCTGTGAATATGAGTGGATATTCTGAATTTAGCTCAAAACACACCGGAATTCATGAATTTTTGAATGATAAATTCCCCTAGATATCGTCGCATATACAGCCATCGCAACCAACTCACACACAAAACCGACTAGCATACACGGGCGTCAGAGTTGTGTGTGATCTCTACTCATGGATTATTTTAGTGGGCAGCTCTGAATTCATATTTGGACCAGTTGCTCAATTTGGATTTTAGGATATATGGAGTTACAAAATTAAAGACAGTTGCTAAAAAATTACAACACATGCACATTCCCTTTGCTCACAATATTAAGGAACGCTTTTCCATGCATTCTGACGCAAATGCTGACAAAATTTGACCCTCTGGAAGTTTTTTTGGACCAATTTTGGATATTTTCACTTAATTTTCCGAAGTGAGGACCTTTTTTTGCTCTTCAAAAATTTTCCGAGAGCAAATTTACACTAGAAAGAATTGAATTTTCAAAAAAAGTTCTGAAAATTTCTTAAAATAATCGATGTGTCTACTACACTTCGTCAGTGCAGCCTTGACTTTTTTTTCACTAAATGGAAAATCGGTTTAATTTTTTCATCGATCTGGGTTATTTTTCAGGTCAAAAGAGTGTCGCTGAACTTCTCACCAGTAAAGGAGCCAATGTTGATATCAAAAATGTTCAGAATCAGACACCTCTTCATCATGCTGCTTCCCATGGTAATTTTGAATACTTTTTTCGAGTACTATGCGCATTAGTATTGCTTAGCAGCAAGCATTGAATATGCTTCGGCCAATGGATAAGCATATCGCGATGCAATTGCCGCCCACACAACTATCGTGCAAATAAACGTCGCATATACAGCCATCGCAACCAACTCACACACAAAACCGGCTAGTATACACGGGTGTCAGAGTTGTGTGTGATGAGCTTTGACTTTTTTTTCACTAAATGGGAAATTGGTTTAATTTTTTCAACGATCTGAATTATTTTCCAGGTCACAAGAGCGTCACTGAAGTTCTCATCCGTAAAGCAAACGATCTTAATATCAAAAATAATTTTAATGACACACCTCTTCATTTGGCAGCAATGAGGGGTAAGGTTGACTAAATAAGTTATCCCGCCGATCTCTTTCATTGATCCGTATTATTTTAGGTCACGGAGGTGTCGCTGATGTGCTTCTCAAGAATGGAGCTAACGCTGATATTGGAAGTGATTTGAATTCCACAGCTCTTCATTTAGCTGCATTAGGTGGTAATGTTGAATGCTTGTTCTTATTAAAGAAACGATTGATTTGATCTCTTTCATCGATCTGATTTTTTTTCCAGGTCACAAAAATGTCGCCGAGGTTCTCCTCAACAAAGGCGCCAATATGGATATCATGAATAATTTGAATCATACACCTCTTCATTACGCTGCTAGAAATGGTAATGTTGAATAAGTATTTTCACAAAATAAAGAATCGGTTTGATCTTTTTCATCGATCTAAATTATTTCTAAGGTCACAAGAATGTTGCTGAACTTCTCATCAAAAAAGGAGCCAAAGTTGATATTAGAAATCATGAGAATCTAACACCTCTTCAGTTAGCTGTTGACCATGGTACTGCTGACTAAATAAAATACCGCTTTGATCTTTTTCATTGATCTGTATTATTTTTCAGGTCACAATAATGTCGCCAAACTTTTTATCGGTAAAAGAAACCGAATTAATATTGAAGAACAATTGGAATAGATTCAATATGCTGCCAACAATAGTAATGTTGAATATTTTACTTTTCCGTACACTTTTTTAAGGGAATTGAAATGGAAAGATTTTTTCAATCTACGATTAAATTT